TACCCTTTCACTACATCTTCATTATACTTTTTTCCCCCAATCTATCTTTTTAATTAAATTTGCTCATGGACCACTTCATCCTTGAATTTATTTCCATTTGAAAGGATCAATCATTGGCTAAAATGTGTAGGGAATATTTTAACTAAAGAAATCAGAGTCAAATGAATGACCGAACAGCTCCCTCTCTGAAGGCTGCAGACACAGGGAAATCACAGCCAGAATAAGGTCATTCTGCTTGGAAGAGGAAACAGTAGGCAGGGGGTTAGAGGGGGAAAAAAAAGTTATTTCAAGTATCTGAATGACTGTCATGTGGAAGAAGAACCATGCTAATTCTGACTGCTCACATGGGAGAAAATAGCACGTAGGCCGCATTAGGTTTGATATAAGAAGAAAATGTCATGGCTGCCTCAGAACTAAATGGTAACTTATGGTTAGAGTATTCCAGGAAACATCTGAAGATTGCCAACATAAAGACGGAGAGCCTCCAGGAGACAACATCATGTATAGTTTCTATCATTCAGGAGAACTGACGCAGTTTCAGTTCAGTCGCTCAGTTGTGTCCGACTCTTTGCGACCCCATGGACTGCAGCATACCAGGCTTCCCTATCCAGCACCAACTCCTGGAGCTTGCTCAAACTCACGTCCATCGAGGTGGTGATGCCATCCAACCATTTCATCCTCTGTCGTACCCTTCTCCTCTTGCCCTCAATCTTTCCTAGCATCAGGGTCTTTCCCAGTGAGTCAATTCTTCACATCAAGTGGCCAAAGTATTGGAGTTTCAGCTTCAGCATCAGTCCGTCCAGTGAATATTCAGGATTAACTTCCTTTAGGATTGACTGGTTTGATCTCCTTGCAGTTTGATACAGTCTAGGCACTTTAAATAAAATGTGGTTCAATACAGACAATTCAGTGATCACTAAAGTGTTGTAAGGGCTGGAGAAGTGCAAGGCAGGACTCAGGCATTAGCTTTCAGCTTCACTTCCACAATTCTAGTCTCACAAGGTGGACAAATGCTACTGTCACACGGGGTGGGTAACGCAGAGACCTCACAGCTAACTTCCCAGCTCCCCCTGCAGCCCTGAGACATGTGAATAAGAGGAAAGCTCAGAAACCACTGCAAAATCCAACAGCATCTATGCAAAGCCCACATAACCACCCATGGCCACCAGCAGAGAAAGGAGAAGGCAGAGTTCACCCCTACTCCACCTTACTGCAAGCGCCTCTCTCACTGACAGAGCGTAATGGTAAATGACATCCTCAGGGCTGGAAACAAGAGAGTCTGGGAAAGTTCACAGACTTGTAGCCCCTGACAGGCAGAGGAACATCAGAAGGACAGCACAGGGCATGAGGTTGTCAAACACCTAGAGTCTGGCTCAAGCATCAGTCTGGGGGAGAGAGGGAGGGTTGTACTTGATGCCTCGTGGCCTGCTTAAGACTTACAGAAGCAGGAGTCCATGTCACTCTGCACATCTTTCCTTCTCAAATTGCTTTTAAAGGTTTTCTCTGTCTTCAGAAAGTATGAGCAATGCTGCCTATCTAAATATGATGGAAACACACCCATTGCGTCACTCTTACCGATTCTGTGCAAACTGTATTTTAAAAGATGTCATTCACTTAAGGTGACCATCTCTGTGACTGCTAAAAACACAAGCCTGTTATTCAGCTCAATTACTGTGTATTAAGGAACACGTCCCATGAGCCATCAGAGGCCCAGCTAGCCAACGGTGTTGCAGATACAACCATGCACCTGAAGCTTCCCCTACCACCATAGAATCACTGCAGTGCCTTCTGGAAGGCAGGGAAATAAAGACCAGTGGCCTCCTGACTTGGGTTAATTGCATCATGATGGGTGGGCCTCCAACCTCCACCCCATTTATGCTCCAAATTTCAGGATCACTCCTATAAAGTCACATAATGAAGATGAAGCCATAGATTTGACTGAGAAAAGGAAACACTCAGGCAAGATCAGCAATACAGAAATTCACAGCATACTTCATCTTTCATTATTCTAACTGAAAGGCATGCCAGGGCCAGGGAGGGGCACCTCTCAGACCTCATTCAAGAGAGATCTGCCCCGAGTAGCATAGTGAGCAGACAGTCTCCTCTTTTAGGGCCTCTGGGATCCACAGGAAGGCCGGAATTCCTCCAGAAGCTCCCCGATGTCTAAGCATCATACAAGTACCAGGGACTGGCCATTTTTATCCAATGGGGGATTCCTCTGCGGACAGTCTTAGTGCTGGCCTTCCCTGATGGAGTGACCAAAACCATCCCAGAGCTCCATCGGGAAATGACAGGAGCAGTCTCCTTGTGCACCTGTGAGGGATTCCCTGGGGCACCTTCCTACTAATGAAACTGTTTCACATGGCTTTCATTACAGGTCAACTCACTCATGCACTGGAGCATCACAATTTCAGGCCTGCAGTATATTATGGGCTTAATGTGGACCAAACTGCAGAATAATTTACAGTACTTCTAAAGCAAGATGCCCCTTTAAGGATCCACCTGCCACCACCACTCAGAAATTATAACTATGACAAACTAAAGATTATTCCTTGAGCACACAAACCAAAGACAAATGAACTTGTGTTGGGTTTGGAAAACATCATCAGACTCCCGTTAAAGGAAGACGGCTCTCAGAGCACCTGGAATCACCGAGAGTGAAACAGCATCTTCTTTGAAGAAGATTATAGAACTACAAAGCTAATCCCATTTCATCCTGGTGAGAACCTCACGGGCTTCCTTTCTGCATACCTGTATTGAGAGCTTTATCCAGGAGTGAGCACAATACACCTGTCAGAGGCTCTCCTCCCAAACCTGCCTGTCTTCCCCCTCTCTTGACATGGGTGTCAGACCCACACTGCACTCTGAAGTCGTGCCCGCCCCTGCCTGGTTCCCTGCGGCTTAGCTTCACTGCATTATCCCCAACACATGCCTCCCCCTCCTAACTGGGGCTCAGTGCCCACTTGCTGGGCGACCTAAATGGATACAGCTATGACAGCTGCTAGACACAGTGTGGGCTTTGTTCTTGAGAAGGGAGTCCTTCCCTATTTTTGCCTGCCCATTTTCACATTGCTGAAGTGATGGGGTGGGGGGATAAAGAATGGTGGGGGAAAGGGGGATAAAGAATGTTTATTGGCAAGTAGGCTGGATTGGGGATGCCAGCAGTTCACAGCGGTTGTCTGAGGATGCCAGCTGCTCCAATTCTGGGTGAAATCTGGCTCTTGAGACGACAGAAGATTATGGTCTATAGGTAGCTGATTTTAGATGGAGCTTCTTCCACTGGGAGAAAGGAGATCCTGCAGATGACTTGTTGCCCAGGTGACCCAACAGAAACTCTCGGGGCTGTCTGGAGATAGTTCTGCTCATGTTCAACACATAGACAATTGCTCTTTCTATTCACACACCATGGCAGCCTTCAAAGCAGGAGATGCTGAGGCAATCCTAGATTCTACAGTTCCCATCCCTAACTTAGAGCAGGGCTATACATGCATTCCCTGATCTTAAAATTTCCAGTTAAAAAAAAAGTCCAGCTGGAGAGATAACTGTCACATGTGTACTACTGTGTACTCCAACTCCAAAAACACGTGAGCTTGCTGTCAGGTTTTGCAAGGATTTATTTTCCCCCACTTCCTCCCCAACATGCCACCTCCACCCCCTTCCACCCTAGGACCACATAACCATCCTTCTTTCCTCTCCCTCACTTCGTTTGTTCTCTCTGACGCAGGAAGAGAGAATCAGCACAACCCCTGGCTTTGGACAGCTGATTTATTCCAAGGAGCAGAGTACAGATCTCATATTCCTGGGTCCATAGCTCTTTAAAACAGAGGACGGAGACACTAAGATGCAAAATAAACTATATGAACCAAGTTATGACAGCTTTTCTAGCAAGAGAACCCAGGCCTTGGGCATCTAATCTGGGTGCCTCTGTCCCTCCCCCAAAGTCTAAGCACAGGGCTGCAAAGAGAGGCCAAGGGAGAATCCTGGTGCCATGCTGGAGGGTGGGCATCACAGGGCAGACTACGGCCTCACTTGGCTCATAATCTGTAGGTGGCAGCCAGGGAGTTGGTCCAACACTTTCACGTACCGATGATACAATGGCTGACACGCTACCTACTCAGAGTTTTACAACTAGTTTCGGTCCCTCAGAAATAGGAGTGCAATCTCCAGACCCCTAGTCCACCATTCTTTCCTCAGCATCTTGTTGTTTCTTGGTCATTTGACATTTTTCTGCCTCCATTTTCCCAGCTGCTTCAGTGTAACGCTTACCAAGCATAGACCTAAACAGGGTGGCCCTGATTCTCTCTTGACTCGCTGCAAGGATGCGGCACAGTCAGCAGGCACCATATAAACTGTCACCAGTACTATGGTTTTCCACCTGTGGGTCAGCTCCTTATATTCTTACCATCTCACTTGCCCTCTTGTGTCCAGCAGCCCTACCATCACCCACATTTATGGCTTTCTCCAGAGAGGAAAGAGGCAGGATTTATAAAGTTGATGAAGGTCGCTGAAATTTTTAGGTTCAGTAAGAAAAGCTGGATACAGGCAGGCAATTACTCCTCTTCCACACTGAGGCAGTTCTCTCCGGTTATTACATGTGGCCATTTGCACCACTGGCCCCACTATTTGTCTCTTTCTGAATTCATACCCTGTTGTGCGTGTGCGCTCACTCACTCAGTCGTGTCCGACTCTTTGCGCCCTTGTGGACTTCCGCCCAGCAGGCTCCCCCGTCCGTGGGACTCTCCAGGCAAGAACACTGGAGCAGGTTGCCATTTTCTACTCCAGCGGATCTTCATGGCCCAGGGATCAAACCCGAATCTCTTGCATCTCCTGTACCAGCAGGAGGGTTCGCGGAGCCACCAGGGAAGCCCACGTGTGTGTGGCCACTTTGCTTCGCCAGCTTAGCTAGCTGAGCTGGAATTTCATTTCCCGAAACATCCTTCTGTCGAGGCCTAGATTGCGTCGGCACTAGAACAATGTGCGTGAGTTTTGGAGAGGGGAAGTCAGGCGGCAGTCACCGTCTTTGTTCCGGACGAGGGGGTCACCACCGGTGGGCTCCCTTGTCGGCACAGAGCGCAGCCGGGCCCCAGCACCTCCGGCCCCTGGTGGAAATTCTCCTTCACCTTCTGCAGCTCCCATGCCAGGGAAGTGTGTGCGCCAGCAAGAGCGCCAGCCTCCCTGTCCGTCACCGTGGCCTTGTGCCTGAAGACACAGGCTGACCTGGGCTCCACGTGGGCTCTGCTGGGACCCGCGGTCTGTCTGTCTTTCCCTCCCTGCTGCTGGCCCCGACGACCGCAGGCTCAACGTCAGGTACAGAGAGAACAGCCATATGCTGCCTTCTTCACCAGCTCCCACAACTGCGTGAGGCTCAGTGCCTGCACCAAATCCCTTATCCCTGTCACTCGTTGTAGTCCCGCTTCTCTCGTCAAACTCCTAGTGATGCTCCACCGACTTTACACCAACCCCCTGTCCACCAGGGTAAACTTCCTCACCTCCTGACTTTGGGTCCGGCCGGCACCCTGCCTCGATGTGACACGAGAGGGAACTGTGCAGTGGATGCTGCTGTCACCAGGAAAAGAGTGTGCTCCGGCCAGCCACCAAGCTCAGGAGGAAGAGGGATTCGTGGGGACACAGATGTGTCCCCAGACAACCCCAGACGCACAGCGCAAAGTAGAACCGTCGATCCCAGCCCAGGCTCATCAGCCAGACCCCGCTGACTCACAGAAACAAGAGTGACAGGAAATGCTCATTTCATTAAACTCACTGAGTTGTGAGGTGCTCCCTTACACAGCAATAACTGACCAAATACTGTCATAAAATTTTTATGTCAGAAAATGGATTCCATTTGCCAAAGTTTACTCTTACATGTTTTCAGGTAACTTAAGCAGCACTTCATTAAAAATCCCTCTCTTTCCATTTTGCTCTACAGAGGCAGAAGAGGGAAGTGAGGACTTTTGGTCCAGGACAGTTTCCCAGCCTCTCTGCCTCCCCTGTTGTCAGATGATTCCCAGGAGGCTCAGGGAGTGACTGTCGGGCAAACAGCGTGGAGATTCCAACAGAGAACTGCAGGTCTGCCCAAGGACCAGCCCTCAAGGGGCAGTGAGGGAGCAGCAGCAATACCTGGGGATAGAGATGAGATGAAGGAATATCTGGCACTTTTATCTTGAGGCTCCCGGAAGCTTCCCTCCCTCTGGTTCTTCTTGGGGAGCCAACAGAAAGAGCAAATGAAAAGCATCCCTCAAACAAGCTGGGGAAGAGGTGTGTGGCGTGTGTTCAGAGGCCCTGAGGCATCCCTTTCAGGCCCTGTGGACCGGTGCTCGCCCTGAAGCAGAGCATTCCCCCTTAATCAGGTGGGGACCTTCTGTGAAACTCTGTGGCCCAGGTCTCTCCAGCCAGAGATGACCGCTTCCCTCATTCCAGCCACAGAGCCAGCCTAATTTCTGCCCTGTCAATGTAAATAGCTCTTACTAGATCTGTCCTGGCTTTAGCCAAAATGCCACTCATTGGCTTTCACAGGTCCTTAATGCTACAGGTAGCTGAGGTAGTGTTTATAAATTTCAATTTGGGAGGCAGGGGTTAACATATACATATTATTATATATGAAACAGATAACCAACAAGGACCTGCTGCATAGCACAGGAAAATATATTCAATATTGTGTAATAACCTATAATGGAAACAAATCTGAAAAAGTATATATACAGTGTGTGTAACCGAATCACTTTGCCGTATGCCTGAAACTAACACAATACTGTATGTCAGCTATACTTGATTAAAATGTTAAATTTAGGGCTTCCTTTGGGGCTCATGTGTGTGTAGTAAGACTTCAGTCATGTCCAACTCTGTGCGACCCCATGGACCGTAGCCCACCAGGCTCCTCTGTCCATGGGATTCTCCAGGCAAGAGTACTGGAGTGGGTTGCCATGCCCTCCCCTCCAGGGGGTCTTCCCGACCCAGGGATTGAACCCAAGTCTCTTATATCTCTTGCACTGGCAGGCAGGTTGCTTATCACTAGTGCTACCTGGGAAGGGGTAAAGAATCCATCTACCAATGCAGGAGACAAGGGTTCAATTCCTGGTCGGGGAAGATCCCACACGCCATGGAGCAACTAAGCCTGTGCGCCACGGCTACTGAGCCCGGTGCTCTGGAGCCGGAGAGCCGCCGCTGCTGGAGGCAGCGCGCTCTAGGGTCTGTGCTCCATGCTCCGCAAATAGAGAAGCTACCGCAAGGAGAAACCTGCACGCCGGAACAAAGAGTGGCCACCGCGCGCCGCGACTAGAGAAAAGCCCATGCTCAGCAGCGAAGACCCAGTACAGCTAAAATAAATAAATAAATAGAAATTTTAAAACTGTATTAAAAAAAATTAAATAAAAAAATAAAAAGACACAAGCGTCCATGGCCTCCTAGCTGGCCTCCTCCTATTTCATCCTCCCCCTGCTCATCCATTACTGGCCCGGCAACCAGGCGGCCTTTTTAAAAACATGATAAAATGATGTCCCACACTATCCTTGCTGAAACCCTCTTAAGATACAGGGCAAAACAATGCATATTTCATTCACCCACAAGGAGGTGCAAAGAAAGGCCCCATCACCCTCCGTATCACTGGTCTCCCTTTGTTCTCTGTCCCCCTGGCACCCCAGCCTGTCCCACGGTACACTGCACTACTTCTGCCCAAGGACCTCTGCACACGCGGCACTGTTAGCCTAGAACTGTCTCCCTTCACAAGGTAACTCTTTCTTACCTCTTCGGTCCCTAAGCTAGACGGCCTGTTTCACCTTCCAAACCCCCTCCCCCCTCCACCTCCCTTTTCTCATCCCAGGGGGCTAGTCTATAGGGACGACATGAATGGTCGCCTTTGTCCTCTGACTTCTGGAAGGATGCTGAAGAGAGACACAAGAGTTAGGTCAGAGCATTTCTTTTCCTGGATTACACTTCACAAAGGTCAACTCTTCACAACCACCAAGCATGTTGCATTGGTCAGCCACTGGCGTGAACAACTAAAACCTCTCAGGTGCATAAACAATACACTTCTTTTCTCAACTATATCGAGGTCATGTACTGGAGGGAGAGGGACTGTTAGTGTAGGTTGCTGTAATAATTATTCTTGATTTTCTGTAATGGATGATTTGACATCTTGATGGTATGGGCCAGGGACTACGCCGCTGTCTACTGGCTGAGACTCTTCTCCCAACGCAGGGGGCCTGGGTTTGATCCCTGGTCAGGGAACTAGTTCCCACATGCTGCAACTAACAGTTTTTGCATGCCGCAACTAAAGAGCCCACATGGCCCAACTAAAAAAGATCTCCTATGCCGCAATGAAGGTCAAAGAGCCTGAATGTCACAACTAAGACCCAGCACAGCCAAATAAATAAATAAAAACAATTTTTTTTTTAAAGTACCAGCTTTAACTTTAGTAACAGCTCAAGATGTTTACATCCATACTATCTTTGTGTTTTTGCAGGCTGCACAGGTATCATATGACAAGCCCCTAACCACAAACCCCAACACCTGCTTTGCCCAGTAGGGGACATCCTGCTCACTGGGGGACGTCCCCACCTAACAGTCTCCCACCACGAGAGTGACAGGGGCTCTCACTCCTGCCGGTGCCTCCCCTCACTTCTCTGCTCCAGGCTGGCCAGGTGCTTCCTCACCAGGCCCTGTGCAGCACGGCCTACTCCCTCCCCCGGGAACTGCAAGTAACGGACTTTCCTTTAACACTGACATTGACAACCCTGACCTTTCCGGGACGGCACTTAGTCATCTCCACAAATTAAGTCCCAGGTACGTTTTAAAACAGACTTGCTCAGCTAGGCAGCAAGAGAGCAAGCCTGATCACATAAGTACTTCTGATGATTTACCTGTCTGTCTCTCCTATGAAACTGCTAGCACCCAGCTTATTCTGCTCACCCTCACAGTCCCATCATCCAATAAAGAGTCTGGCACGTTGCAAATTCTTGATAAATATTTCTTGATTGAATGGAAAAAACACAGGAAGCCTGTGTGAGATGCAGCTTGGTGCCCTAATGTAAAGGGGGCTGGTGGCACTATCAAGGGGGCTGTTCTATGCTTCACATGGAAGAATTTTGAAAACACATTGACTTCCCCTGAGGGCACAGGTGACTATGAATTGTCACTCTATAAAAGTGACCACTGCTTGCTAAAAGTAGCAACTGGATGTAGACAACATAGCCCACCACACTGACCCAGACAGTGGTGACCAAGGCTTCAAAGATGCCTAAGATGCCTTGGGACTTTCAACAGATCCTGAGTGAGTGACTGGGTGTTGGAATTTGGAATGAAATAGGCTGACTTGCTACTTGTTTGCCTTCTTCAAGCCTTGGTGGGATACCGTTACCTGCCATAAGAGCTGCTGTGAAAACAAAAAGACGATGGATGAATGTTCTGCAAAAATGTACATACCATGATTCATGTACGTTGTGATTCGGGTGCTGGTAGTTGTAGTTGGGTTAGCTGTTATTATTCACAGCCGTGACTAGAGACAAATTGAAATAACATATCCCATTTTTCACTTGCATGGGGCACTTTGGAGCACATAAATGGTTTGAATATGAAGGAGATGGAGGAGATGAGGAGATGGTTTGGGTGAGCACACACCTGGGCCCTCTGATCCTTGGGCTTAGGGGCCCGCAGCGCTGACAGAATGAGAAAGGAAGGAAGCAGAGAAGGAAGGACATCCCTGCCGCTTGAGAGTGCTGGAGCCTGGAGAAGGGTGCAGTATGTCAGAGTAGGTTTCTGTGTCCCAGAGACCCAGGTTCGAACCCGGCTCTAGCACTTCCCACTGTGTGATCTAGGCATTATGCTTAAACAGTTGGGGCCTCATTCAGTTTAGTCGCTCAGTCGTGTCTGACTCTTTGTGACCCCCGGGACTGGAGCACGCCAGGCCTCCCTGTCCATCACCAACTCCTGGAGTCTACCCAAACTCACATCCATCATGTCGGTGATGCCATCCAACCATCTCATCCTCTGTTGTCCCCTTCTCCTCCTGACTTCTATCTTTCCGAGCACCAGGGTCTTTTCCAACCAGTCAGTTCTTTGCATCAGGTGGCCAAAGGATTGGAGTTTCTGCTTCAGCATCAGTCCTTCCAAAGAATATTTAGGACTGATTTCCATTAGGATGGACTGGTTGTATCTCCTTTCAGTCCAAGGGACTCTCAAGAGTCTTCTCCAACACCACAGTGCAAACACATCAATTCTTTGGTACTCAGCTTTCTTTATAGTCTGACTCTCATATCCATACATGACTACTGGAAAAACCGTA